AAAAAAAAAAAAAAGCAGATGAAGAAATTTAGAGGGTGATTGTTTATGAATTCATCTAGTCTTTAACTAGTTATTTTTTAATCATAGTTACTTTTGAAAAAAGTTGGTATGGTTAGTTGTTAGTAGTTATATTAAAATAATATTTTAAATAAAATAATTAAACTTGATATGATGTAAAAGTAAGAGAAAAATAATTGAAGTTGATAGTTAGTTAAAATTATGTGAGTAGATGAATAGTGAATTAAAGTTGATGTGATGTATAAGAATGATTGGTTGAATGATTAGTTGATATTATTTAATTGTATTGATAATATTGGAGATAGTGGAGTTGAGTAAAATTTGAGTTAAATTTGAGTTTTAATTGGTTTTTTTTTATGTGGATTGGTAAACAATCACACTTAACCATCAAGCACCTGATTGAGTAAAACTAAAAATTAGATATTTGCTGCTCTTTTTCTACGCGCCACAGATGAGGAGCAAGGCGGGCAGTTCGAAGAAAAAAATAGATACCCAAAACTCAAGCAACAAAAAATTTACACAGTAGAGTATCCAAATCTGGGTCAATACCAGCAAAAACATCTCTGAACATAGTGAAGCAGATAGAGGGGAGGGCAGGAGTCCAAGATCCCATCCAGAAAAGGGGCAAAGCGCGTTCTGAGCGGAGAAAAAGAAATTAAAAAAATTAGAATACTATTAAATTACACATACTCTACACAAATAGTACTGCGTAATTTGATATTATTTTAATTTTTTAATTTTTTTATCTTTTTTTTTCGTTCTTTAGGTTTACATTCATATTTTCACATATTTTTCTTTTTTCATTCACATTTTACCTTTTCCCATTTTTTAATTATTTTTTTTACAAATATACTTAAACAAAAAATTATAATTAATATTAAGTGACAATTAAATAACTTTATAGTACTTATTCATTATAAATTATACTACATAGAAAACATGACCTAAAGTTTTATAACACTCATTATTCATAAATTGTTAGACATTTACTTCCGTTTCTTTTATTTATTGAACAATAAAAAAGTAAAAAAAAAAAAAGAAAATCAATGAAAACAAACAATAAATTAAATTATAATGGGTTAACCTCATCAAACAATACAACCAATACCAATTGACAAATTTAATAAAAAAAAATTACACACAACACGTAATTCTTTTTTTCAGTACGTACAAATTAAATGATTATAAACTGTAAATATTAACTAAAAATTTAGAAAATTTATATTCATAATTCCTTACAAATTATATTGCATTGAAAACATTACATAAGCTTTTATGCTGCTCATTATTAATAATTTTTTTGATATTCATATCTATTTTTTGAAAGACAACCAAATATTAAATTACAATGCGTAAATATCATCAAACAATACACCATTACTTATTTTTTTTTTAAAAAAAATAGATATAGAGGAAAAGGAAAGCACCTCACATCGTTAATTAGAAATGTCATGGACTTAAAGATGATGTCTTACTATGAGAAAAAAAAAAGGCGTTTGGTGACGCTTATTTTTTTGTTTAATAACGTTTATTAGCGTCATAAAAAATTACCTACTATTAAATGTGTCGCGAGTTACGATGCTAAATTTGATGTCACAAAATTATCTGCAACGCATAATTTTAGCGTAGGTACTTTTTGATACGCGACGCTTTTTCAAATGCGTCACTTTTGTAGAATTTGTGACGCAAGCTATTTTCGTATCTAATAGTGCTTGACGCTTTTTTGAGTGCGCCATCATTATAAATTTTGGCGCCACACCACTGCGTTGTAAATTTTAAATATGACACTTTATTGCATTCGTCGTTATAACAATAAATTTTGATGACACAAAATTTATGCCAGGCCCACAACCTGGCCCGTTTCGAAGCGGGCCGACTTGCCCTGCCTCGCCCGAACCAAATTTATCTTTTTTTTTATATTACCGATTAAACCATACATGTGTAGAATATAAATTGGAGCAACAATTAAAATATTCTCATCTAAACATATTCTAGCAATCCAACAAGGGATCTTCTACAGTCAGGTCATGGTTGTACCTATCTAACATCAGGTAACCCCCCATTTCACCGTTGGATTGACTAAGATATGACAATGAACGATGGATTGAAGGGTACAAGGGAAAAAAGAATTTTGGTAGTCTTGTACTCTCTCTCGTACCCCTCGTACTTGTAAATTCCTATTATACCCTTCGTACCCCTTGTACCTATTTTATTTATTCTCAAGCCCCCATATACTTTTGTAAATTACATAACAATCCTACAAATTTAAAACAATTTCATCACAACCTAAAATTATATTTTAAGATTCCAATCCGTCGTCTTCATTTAGGAAAAGAAAATGGACAAAACCAATCTTCCACTTCATCTTCTTCCTCAGTGTTCTTCTACATACCAAACCGACCAACTCCTTCTTCCTCTCGTCATGAGTCAATATCAGAACAATATTATTACCCAAACATATATTCGAACGATTTACGATCAATATGTAACTAGTCGAT